ATTTTAATAGGAAGGGGGTGGGGCTGGAGTGCGGCATAGCTGGTTAAGCCACCACTTGCAACACCAGCATCCCGTATCAGCACCAGAGTCCCAGCTGCTCTACTTCAGATAGAAGACAGTGGAAGATGGCCTAAACCCTGGGGCCCCTGCACCCACATGGGAGACCCAAGTGGAATTCTGGGATCCTGGCTTGTGCCTGGAGGCCATTTGAGGAGTGATCCAGCAGATGAACGATCTCTATCTCTCCCTCCACCTCTTTTGTCACTCTGCCTTTCAAATAAATAGATAATAAATCTTTTTTAAAGAACGGTGGGATTCCCAGGTGTGATGGTGAGACCAAGTAGAACTGGTCTCACACACAGGACTCTCTGGCCCCCAGGCCTCGTCATTCCCATGGGTAGGGATGGACACACAGCCTCACGTGACTCTGAAACATGGCAGCGTGAGGACTGAACATAAGGCCATGGTCACCACTGACCCTGTGGGAAGATGAGGCAGCCAGAGAGCCCCAGCAGAAGGAACTGGAACACAGCAGGAGGCCGTGGGTGAGGACTGTTTCCCGGGGCCATGGGGGCTGGGTTCAGGTGGAAGCCACAGGCAGAGAGAGAGAGTGTGTTGTTGGGTCAGGTTGTCCGCACCATGGCACCGGCACCAGCACCTGCACAGTGAAGGGATGGCGGCAGGCACCACAGCGCACCAGGCAGGGCAAGCAGCTGTAGGGGTAACCGCTGGACCCATGAGGGGGTCCGGAATTTAAAATGAAAACCCACACCCCGGAACTAACACTCTGCTTTAACAGCATTTCCGGCCGGCTCCTCTAGGTGGTGACACCGGAAGTGACTGGTCTTGGCTAACGCTGCCTCGCACCTGTGCGTGTTCTCTCCTAGGCACCTGACCAACAGGCTCCTGAAGGGCGCTGGTGCTGCCCAGGCCGCGCACTACATGGCGGTGGAGAAGGCCATGGCCGCGGAGGTCCTGGGGGGGCCGGAGGACTGCGGCCCAGCCCGCGGTGACACGAAGCCGGACGTGGTGCCCCTGACCGGGCAGCAGGCGCAGAGCCCGCCGGCCCGCTTGCGGAGGACGCCAGGACCAGAGCCGCGGCCGTGGAGGTAGCGCAGGCCCCTGCCCTCCCGGGCAGGGTGTTGGGTCTCCAGAGGCCTTGGGTCTCTGGGCGGGGAGAGAGGCCCAGCCTACAGGCCTGGGAGAGCCCCTGCAGGTGTAACCACTCCTCCCCCAGCCCCGCCAAGACAGCAAAAGCACCAGGTGTATCCCCGGGCCGGCGGTGGACCCAGTGCCCAAGATGCTGCTAGCCAGACCACCTCCGATAGCAGAGCACCTGGGGTCCAGGCCCAGTGAACTCCCAGTCCCAGCCGGGGTGGTCTTCCACTGCTCTCCCAGGCCATAGCAGAGAGCTGGACCGGAAGTGGAGCAGCCAGGACTCGAACCCACACCCCTATGGGATAACCGGCACTGTGGGCGGAGAGGTAGCCCACTAGGCCACTGCGCCACAGTGCAGATATGTTTTTAAGAGTAGGCAGGTGTTTAGGAATGTGGTCCTCCAATGTTCCCTGTTGCAGAACTCTCCAGAATCTAGATGCCCCCACTCCCACCCCCACCCCCACCCCCACCCCTGTTTTAAAGTGAGAACCCGGGGTCCCGGGGGTCTTAACTGGTGGCAATTCTTCCACTTAAGTGCAACTGAGCCTTGGGATGTTTTCGGTTCTTAGCAGGTGTTGCTCCCAGCCCCACGATGGGAGAAAACAGAGTTGGTAGTGGGAGACGTCCCCTAGGCGCCCGTGACCCGGGTGCTGGTGGGCGTGTGTGTCGCATCCCCTAATCTGAGTGCTCTGGGAGTGTCTCTGGGCCAGACGGCACCTGTCCCAGCACAGGTGGCAGCAGAAGGGAGAGGGGCCTGGGCCCAGGCTGTCCTCCGTCCACGCCCACCCCCCACCCCCCACCCCAACAGGAATCCCCAACACGGCCACGCGCTTTCCCTCTGGGTTCTTGTTTTTGTTTGCTTTTTTTCCCTAACCTTTCTTTACTTGCTGGTTCCCTTCAGAAAGCTGAAAAGAAATGAGAAAAGGCCGAACCTGGACCGCTACAACGGCAAAGAGTTTGAGAAGCTACTGGAAGAAGCTCAGGCCAACATCATGAAGTCCATTCCAAACCTGGAGATGCCGCCCGCGCTGGGCCCGGCACCCAGGGAGAGGGCACAGTGGACAAGCTGGAGCTCTCAGGTGAGCTCCGGGTCCCAGTGGACGTCCAGGGCGCTGTGTGGTGCCACCTCTGGGATAGGGTCTGGTCACTGGGCCTGTGTCTCACTGCTCAAGAATCTTGGGCAGGAGGTGAGGGGTCCAGCACTGTGGCGTCGTGGGTAAAGCTGCTGCCTGCAGTGCCGGCATCCCATATGAGCACCAGTTGGTGTCCTGGCTGCTCCTCTTCCGATCCAGCTCTCTGCTATGGCCCAGGAAGGCAGTGGAAGATGGCCCAAGTCCATGGGCCTCTACACCCACGTGGGAGACCTAGAAGAAGCTTCTGGCTCCTGACTTCGGATCCGCGCAGCTCTGGCCTTTGTGGCCATCTGGGGAGTGAACCAGCAGATGGAGGACCTCTCGGTCTTTCTGTACCTCTCTCTGTAACTCTTTCAAATAAGTAAAATAAACTTCTAAAGAAAAAAAAAAGTGGAGCAGCCGGGACACCAACCGGTGTTCTTATATGATGCTGGCATTGCAAGCACAGCTTAACCCACAGAGCCACAACACAGGCCCCAAGGGTACTACTGTTCTACCCATTTGACAAGTGAGGAAACTGAGGTAGAGGTGGATACTCACGCAGGGTCTCTCTGGGTCTGGGTCTATACCCGCAGTCATCCCTCCATACAGGGAATTCTTCCATTGGATGGCACTGTTACAGCCCACACTGACCCGTGGATGGTATCTCGCAGAGAGTTGATGTTTGCAGTGTCACCCTGTTTTCCAGGAGACTCTCCAAATTCAGAGCAGGGGGGAAAGTCACCACCCCCTCCTCCCCCGCCCCCTCGGCGAAGCTACCTGCCGGGAACCGGGCTCACCACCACGAGGTCGGGGGACGTGGTCTACACCAGCAGGAAGGAGACAGTCACGGCCAAGGTCTGGCATGCTGGTTTCAGGTCCAGAGGTCACTCTCAGAGCAGGCACTCCTCACTCAAAAGTAGAAGTCGTGAGGCAGAGAAGAGAGGCGGACACTGGGCTGGATGGGGGAGGTGCGTGGAGGGGGACCTGGGTGGATCCAGGCAGGTGCCATGGAGGGGAGCAGTCACTAGATGCAGCAGCCCAGGGGGATCCTGACTTGGCTGAGGCAGGTCATGGGCTTCTTCCCAGGAAGGCATTGGCCCAGCATGTGTGGGGTAGGTGGGGATGCCAGCGATCACTGAGGCGGGCCCACACAGGCGTGGGAGGCTGTTCAGGAAGAAGTTCAGGGAGCTGGATGTGGAAGAGTTGCTGTTTCTCCAGCATTGTCAGTGCACACAGCTGGTGCACACGAAGTGCAAATGCAGCGCCGAGCAGACAGCAGACCTCTGCTAGACGGGGACGCACAGTCAGTGGTGTAGGCTGTGGGCACTGCACATCCCCCGCTCGCTGGCTCCTGGCTGGCGTAACGCCAGCATCTGTACTTTGACTCTCCATAGGCGAGCAGCGAGGACGCCAGACCAAGACCACAGACCAGAGCAACCAAGTGTTCCACAGAGGAGCCCACCTCATCCTGGACCCCGGCCTCATTAGCAGTCACTGCGTCTCCCAAGGACGAGGAGGAGGAAGAGGAAGGAGGCAAAATAATGGCAGAGCTGTAGGTATGTGGATGACGTGCAGGGCATCTGGGACTCCCTGCCCAGTGTTCACAGACGTGCTGGCCGCAGAGAGCAGGTGCATCTCCTGCTGCGGCTCCCCCCGCTCAAGATGGAGCTGAGCTAGGTGCCCGCAGCACCTGTGCCGCCTGTGAGAGCGGGCAGCCCACTGACCAGCTCTGAGACTCCTACAGAGAAGCGGTTGCACACTTTCCTGGCGTCAGCTGGGAGCATTCGCTGTCCTTCCCCTCCGTCTCAAGAGTGTCTGCTTCATGCCAGAGGTTGCCAAGGCGGGACTCTGCGGGTGTGCAGCCTCGCTGAGCTCTGGTGGAAGCTGGCTTCCAACGGGCTCCTCTCTTTGGCATTCACAGGAGGAGAATGCCTCTTTGGCATTCACACGTGGGATGCCAAGGGTGTGGGCGAGGGGCGTCCGCCTCTGGGACTCAGCTCGGGGAGGAAGACACCATGACCGCCGACTTGCCCCAAGTTTCCAATCCAGGTGAACCTGAGCCTAATGCAACCTCAACAGAGGAGGGTGGGGGCGGGGGCGTAGATGCTGCGCCTCCCCGGGCGAGGGGGAAAGAGCTGCGCCCTCCGGAGCCTGCCCTTACCAACCAACCTTTCCCCAAGCCGCCAGGCCATCAGCGGCGGCCGACTGGCCGCTCCGTGGTCCCCGGCTCCCGGGAGCCCGGGTCCCGCGTGCATCCCGGAGCCAGAGCCCTCTGCACAACAAAGCACTGAGGGGTGCCCTCATTTTCCTGTCTCCTCTCTCACCGAAGGAGCCTCCCTCCCTCAGCTGGGCCTTCGCCACGCCGGCCCGCGTGTCCGCACTTCCTGGGACACCTCGGCATTACCTGCCCCGCAACCGCGGGCACGCTCGCCACCAGCCAGGATCAAAGGGACAGAGGCAGTGGCAAAGCTGCGTGACCTCCCGGCTCAGCCAGCATGCAGGTGGAGCGGACGCTGTGAGAGCGGAGTCTCCCACAGGCACTCCTTTCACAACTCTCCCAGCCAGCCTAGGAAAGCGCCCCTAGAGCCCGCCCAGGGGTATGAGCCAGGTCGAGGGCCCCACAGGCAGCGGGTGAGCCGCGGGACCCGCCCCTCCCACGTTCCCTCCCCCTCCCGCCAGAGTCCACCCAGTCTCTCCAGCGAAAGAAGCCTCGGGGACATCCCGCCACCCCCGCGTGTGCACACACGCACAGGCGCCCACTTGCACCCAGGCGGCCGCGCCGGGGCCTGGGGCTGCCGGGCGGGGCCCACGCGTTAGAACGCCGAGGTCTGCGCTCCCGAGAGGACAGACTTGCAAAGCCAGGCGTGCACATGGGGCTGCCAGCAGGAAGCCTGCGTGAATGTGTGTTTCATGGTGGGCAACGCTGGAGCCCACGCCCGCACCTCTGAGAGCTGGAGCCGCAGCTCTGGTTTGGGGGGTGGGAGGGCGGTGGCGGAAACACTTTTCCAGCATGGAGCCTCCTGAGGCGCTGCACGTTAAGCCCGTTAAGTGCGGATTCCGCGGATGTCCGAGGAGCCGTCAAGTTCCGTTTGGAGGAACCGGTGTCTTGCGCGTGGGCGCTGCCACGCGACCTCCCGTTGGCGGCGGTCTCCCCTCGGCGGGCTGTCGCCTCCTCGCCAGACCAGGAAAGGCGCTGCTGCCTCCCCCGAACTGGTCCCCGTGACCGACCCCGTCTCAGTTCCTAAGGGAGGACAAACAGCACCCCACCTCTGCGCCGGCCCCCGCGAGCCCTCAGAGCTCCCCCGGGACCCCCTACCCGGCAGCCCACCCACCGGCGCGCCCAGCTCCTTACCTGAGGGTCCGGGTCACGCCGGGCCTCCTGAGAGGGTTGCGGTGTCAGCAGGACCTCCGCATGTGTCAGCGTCTGTCCCTGGGGAGCAGGTAACCGGACTCCGGCAGTGCTGGGCTGCTGCGAGGGGGTGGGCACAGCGGCAGAGGGCTGAGGGACTGCGAATTAAAGCCTTCCGGAGGGAGCTGAGGTGGCCAAGCCCAGGCAGCGCTCTGAGTGGGGGCGAGTGGGGCGGAGGTGGTTGTTGTGGTTAGGGGGCGGTTAAGTGAAGATTTCTGGCTCTCGGGGAGGCTGGGATGGGGAATCCTGAGCTAGTGGGGCAAGAGGGCAAGAGTAGGATGTGTCCTTGGGAGCCGCCTGGAGCTGGGCTTTCGACAGGGTGAGGCAGGGGCAGCAGGGGTCAGGGATGTGGACTGAAGGGAAAAACACAAAACGGCCCGGCCCAGATTCCAGGGCCCACGGGGGTGGTAAATACCCACACTTTCCAAGAAACAGAAAAAAAAATCAGACCAATAAAATAATAGTAACTCAATAATAACTCTTCTCTCTCTCTCTCTCTCTCAAAAAAAAAAAAAAAAAAAGAGGAAAAAAGTTTGGCAGGATGCCTCACAGGAAAAAAAAATACTAATCTGCCCAAGCACTTTTCACTTTGAGCAGGAGCTACATTTGTCCGGTTTTCCTTCGCTTCCTTTTGGCCTCACAAAGCCCTACCTTTTCCTTTTGGACAGAAGATAGGGCTTGGAGATCATCAGGCATCTTTGTGGTCAGTGATCCACTTTGAGGGACGGAGGGATTCATGGTTAGTCAGGGCTTGGGAGCCTCCAAAGGACCCACATGGGGTGCAAATAACAGAACTGCAAAATAACAGGCACACAAAGGGGGTGCTTAGCCTAAAGGCACTATTGGAATCCTGAAATTTGAAACCTTGTGAGAATGTATACTTTACCTTCTGAGAAAACCTGAACGTGATTATTTCAGGTGAAAATGAGATTTTGGTGGAGGGAGGAAAAAAAAGATCTTCAAGATTTTCTACAGTGGAGGAAAACATAACTTAAAATAACTCTGTTTTTTTGGAAAGAGTTCAGTGGTGTTCAAAATCTGTATCTGTAGAAGACTTGAAACCCTTTTAGATTTTCTAAGAAGCAAAGCTAATTAAATAAGTAGATATTCCAGGGCTTTGTAGAAAAATTGTAGCAAAATTCTGCTTGAATTGCAAATATTATCTCTAAATCTTGAATGAAACCATGTTACTAGTTGCACAGATCAAATTTTTCATTTTATGAAATTGATTCTAAATTACAGTATGAGGTAAGGTTAAAGAAATAAAAATGGGTGTTTTTCCATGATAAACACTTTGTAAGTCATTATAATAATTTTTTCTTAAATAAATAATAAAAGTGAGTCGTTGTATGCTTTAAAACTTGAGAATTCATTTTGTTTAAGATCACATCTTTGAAATAAAATCCTATTACTGAACAAAGTTTTTATTAAGTTATTTGCAATCTCATACATGTCATACACTTAAGAATGCAAATTGTTACATTTTATATTCATATAAATTATTGGAGCACTACAAATCATTGGTTGTACTTTAATCTAGAGACACAGATGGGGATCCTCCATTTTTCATAACTGCTCATATCCATGCTTTTTCAAACAAGATTTACTTGCTAGTAAGTAACATGTCTATGCAATCCAGAAATAGGCACCAATGAATAGCCATAGGAAACAGCACACAGTGGCAAGAATTTATTTGAGTAAATAGTTTAAAACATACTAAGGTGTAAATATCTTTAAAATTAAAACAAGTGTCTTTTGTACATTGGATTGTGTTTTTATTTACTAAGTTTGACAACAACCATTACTGGATTAGAAATTTCATGATTTAGGTTACTAGATTATTTGAGTAAAAAGCAAATATGGAAATTTTATTGAATTAAGTGAATGTCCAGTGTGAACTCTCCACTTCTTGTTCTGATGTTTCTTACCTTTTATGTTAATTTACCATTGTTCACTCTCCCTGTTACCCTAAGATCCCTACTGGTTAGAGATTTAGAACCAAGAAAATTTTACAATGATGTATATAAAATTAGTAAATTCCATCTTGTCTTAGTTTATGGACAGCTTCCTCTGTGGGTAACAGGTTGTCATAAAAAATTTGTGCACAGTTTAGAAACTGTGAACCAAATTCCAACTCTTATTTAGGAGTTTTCTATGAATAAGCACATAGCATTCAAGAGAAATGATGTTAACCAGTATTTTCATACCACATATGAGATATACTGTAGTTAAATCATCTTACAGGTTTTCAAGAATTAGAATTTAAGGATTCCAAAAACGGCATTGTAGCTGACACTAATGTATTTCATGAATAAACATTTTCATAGCATATAGCTGTAAAACTTTGTTGTCACCTAAATTAAAGTAAAATCTAAAACTCTGATCTACAATGTTTAATCTTGTAACTTATTATGCAATAGTAATTATATAGTACTTGTCTAATTCTAAATTTTCTCTGGTTTATTCTACTTGAATTTATAAAATCTCTTTTTAAGAAACTTGGAAATGAGGTTTTGCTGTAATCTGCTACACAATTGTTTTAATTGGTGGTCCATGTAAATGTATGCTTTTGTCTATAAAATTCTCCTGTTTATTATTTCGATAAAAACATTTCTGGTTTATTAACTTTGAAACAAGTTACCCTACTTTTTAGCCTGATTTGCTTGTGTGTGCAAATGTTATCTTGTTGAGTAATTGCCATGAAAAACTGTTACTTGAACAGAAAGAGTGTAATATAGGGCAGTGCATGTTAATGCATTCTCCCACCCTCCTCAGGCAGTTCCAAGATAGTTCCTTGGGTATTTTCCTTTCCTAAAACACAATATTGAATGCTAAATATCCTAAGGGAAAAAAAAAATCAACATTTTAAATCAACTTTTTCAATTGCAAAATTCTAAACTTGCAATGATTTTTAAAATTCGGTCTTCTACATAAATTATTTCCTGTCAATTTGAAAATTACCTGATATGTACTGTGAGGGAAAAAAATATACCAGGTAGTAGCTTATACAATTTAAGGAGAGAAAAACAGACATTATTATCTTCTGCAACAATCTGTTTCCATGGGTTCTACTAGTCTATAATTATCCCTGTGCAACATGTCAGTACCATACTCATATTTGTATAATTGTCCTCATCTTTTCTAGGTTTTTCCCTTTTGAAAGACACCCGTATCTTCTTTTTTCTCCATGTATGTGTGTGTGAATACCGGTAAGTTCTTAGTGTATTGTTAGGACATGTTTATAACATGCTCTTTCATCATCTGTATTAGAATTCTGAATAATCAGGAAAGCAACTATGAAAACATACTTACAAAAGAGCGTGAAAACTACATTGAAATACCTCACTTCCTTTCAGTTTACCTCTATTTTTCACTGGCATCTAACATTTCTTATCTAAGATAATACCAGCATATTCACTGCACATATGGCCTAACAGTTGTGTTGTTAGAGCTGCTTTTGGCTGAGCTGAAAGGGGTTCATAAGTGTTTTAGACCATTCAGGTGGAGTAGAAAAGGTACAGCCCAGAGTTGGTGAGGATGATAAAGTGGAAGCTGGGAAGTGGGAGAGATGAAGAAGGCAGAGCTTCTGTGATTGGGGTGGCAGCAGGGCCAAGTGAAGGAGGCATGTGTTGAGTTTGGGGGGCCACGGGGTGCAGCCTCCATGCTGTAGCTATTGTGCATCCAGGCAACTTGATTGTTTCAAGTGAATGACATCCTGTGTCTATCCTAGTATGCCATGAAATCTTTTTTTTTTTTTAAGATTTTATTTACTGATTTGAGAGAGTTACAGACAGTAAGAGAGACAGCACTGTGCCGATCCAAAGCCTGGAGCCAGGTGTTTCTTCCTGGTCTCCCATGCAGGTGCAGGTGCCCAAGCACTTGGGCCATCCTCAACTGCCCTCCTGCGCCTCAGCAGAGAGCTGGATTGGAAGAGGAGCAACTGGGACTAGAACCCAGCACCCATATGGGATGTCAGTGCCGCAGGTGGAGGATTAACCAAGTGAGCCATGGTGCCGACCCCATGAAATCTTTCTTATGAGATGAGATCGTATAGTATGTGTGTCCATATTCACCTGATCCTATTTTGTGTTCATTCTGGATTTCTCCCGAAAATATGATAGAATGGAATCTTTTGACTGCCTAGAAGGAAGTATATGATAGCATCATTTTGAAGAGCAAACATTTTACCATGAATTGAAGAGTGTGTCTGATTTTTAAGCCCTTTGATAAATTTGTTCAAAGTTACTGACATCTTTGTATTCCCAATACCTAGTGCAGTAACTGACGAGCATTTTATGTGCAACAAAGATTTGTCAACTGAAAAGTTGGCTCTGCATCCTTTCATCCCTGTTATTTGACACTACATCTTTCTATCTGCTGTAGGGGACTATATTAGAATCATTTTTAATATAATGCCAACAAAGCATTTAATAGTTTAAAAATCAGTGTACTCATCTTAGCACTCACTTTAGAGCTGTGTTTCCTTTACGTGCAGTTCCTTTCCTTCTTAGCCCCTTTTCAAAATCCTATCTCCTTTCAAGACTCAGCTCCTCCACAAAAACCTTTGAAAGTCCCTCTGCTGGAAGACCTCCCTCTTCACTCTAGCTCCTTGGGGCCATGCATTCTGCAGGACTGAAATCTTGAAGCTCTGCTCTCTGCACCCCAGTCCTCTTTCAGAGCATGTGCCAGGACTTGTTTCCTTTTGACAGTTCTCCAGCTCCTGGCCATGCCCTCTGGCCATAGTGGGTGGCCACTTACTATTGACTCCAATAGCCACAGGACAGACTGGAACAGTGAAAGTTAAGAACCAGTGTTTCATCTTGCTTAAGCAGGAAAGAACCACTTTGGGTAAATTTGATATGTTTTCTCCAGTGTTGCAGATACTGGTCATTTAAAGCATTTCTATCTGAAAGAAAATGTGTTTAAACAAATTTCTCCATTCTCTACTCCTCAAAACTCCATCAAAAAGAATTCTCTTTAAAAAGAGCAAATACTAAATGCCGATGCAAGTTAGACACCATCTAACCCAGACCCTGGAAAGATTGCTAATTTTATCGGCCATATCCTTCAAATTTCAGGAGACTTAGAACTTTTTATTCTTGTTTTTTCTTCCCTTTGTAATAGTCCCCATACCCTCGGGGAAGAGTCATTTAATCTCTCTTGCCTGCAGAATCTATGCCTATTATATTGGTTTGCTAATCATCAGGAAGATATTATGGAAGTAGTTTGGAGAGATCAACAAAGAATTTTACCTTCATAAGAGAGGGTATGGAGCTATAATAGAGGGTGTCAGAAAGCTTGAAATTTGATCTTGTATTGGCCACAAACTGCTGGTGTGACCTTGGGCAATATACTTATTCCCTTGGCTTTAAGCTCTTTACCAATAAAAGAGATGATTAGGTTGGATAATTTCTATAGCCGGTGCAGCTTGGAACTGCTGTGCTTGTGCAGTGTGCTCTGCCTGACAAGGGCAGTACACAACTTTTTTATAAATCATGACATGCTAGAAGATGGGACTATCATGTCAGCAATGCGGAGAGGTGTGTGGATTTCCACTGCGAATTATAATGGCTTCTCTCTCTTGCTTAACCTTCCAGACATCCAAGACTGAACAGAGATGAAGAAACGTTAGGGGGGGGTCTTTACCGCTTTTATTAGAGATCGGGAAGCAGGAGTCCTGCTCTATTTGTCCAAAACTAAGTGTGATAAGCAAACTAATCCTCATTAGTAAAATGTGATTAATGAGTTGTAGTCATCCACATATCTCAGAAATCTAGGGTGATCACACAAAATCCTTAAAGGTATTGTGAAGTGTAGCATTGGTGGATATGACCCGTCTGTAAACTATTAGAGAGGTCAGTGGCAGCTGTACCCCTGTGAGGCAGGGGAAGGTCGAGAAGGGAGGCTCAAAGGCAGGTTGCTCTGAATTAGAGAGGCTGCGGCAATATCAGGTATTTCCAGCGTCACCCATCCAAAGCTGTTACGGAAACGTGTAGAGGTGGCTGTTGCATCCAGCCATACGCATAGCTTCAAGATTCTCCCTGGATGCTCACAGGAAGGATGTTAGGCAGTTAGAAGGAGGATTTCATGGATTTCTAGTCTGGTTCCATTGTGGGCTGGGTTTTTAAGCTTTCAGATTCTCAGTTTCCCTCACAGTAGGTTGGCATGTGTAAATGCCTACTGTTGTAATTTGGCATTCATCAGACAGTAGTATCAGTATGCAATCTACATCCCTTTCACGAAATCACATTCCCTATTTTTTCATTTTAGGGATAGCTAACCCTTTCATAGACATTTTTTCATAAAAAAAAAAATTGGACTACAGGGAGAGAGAGACAGAAGGTGTCGCTCCCCTCTTCGCGGAGGAACGACACAGGACCCTGCGCTGTTCTTTTGTCTGCTCGGCCCTCCCCGGGTTTGCTGCTGGTTCTTCCCGGGTTGGCTACCGTCCCTTCCACCTCCGTGGAACACACGCCAGCACACCGCCGGCCGGCTCTCTCAGGGGCTGCACAGGTGTTCCTTCAGATAGATGTTCCTGGTGCATGTTGTCTCTCTCCTCCTTTATAGTCCTCTTCCACCAATCCCCACTCTGCTACCCACACGCCGAGTACGCTGCTCTCCTCCAATCAGGAGCAGGATCAGCTCCTGGAGGTCATCACTCAAGTTGGCAAGAGGCAGCTGCGTAGAAGCTGTTTTCTCCTCTCCCAGCGCCATATTGTGGGAGAGCAGATGCATAGAATAAGTCTTAATTCCAGTAACTTAGTCTAGTCCGAGTTGCTCCCAGTTGCTCCCCACAGAAGGGGTGAGCTCCCATCTGCTGTTTCATTCTCCAAATGCCCACAAGTGGCTGGGGCTGAAGCACAGTGCCAGAAGCTCCATCCAGTTCCCCCGCATGAGTTGCAGGAACCCAGAGATTTGAGCTATCCTGGCTGTCTCCCAGAGTTTACTTTAACAGGAAGCTGGGCTCAGGAACCAGAGCTGGAAACTGAATCCTGGCCCTCTGATGTAGGAGACAGGCATGTTAACCAGTAGGCCAAATGCCTGCCTCCTGTCTGTCATTTTAGCTGGATTGGAGCATCCGCTCATTGCAGGAGGAGCCACCCTAGAAACACAGAACCCACAAAATGACCTTGGCCTTGACAAAAGCCTGTCTCTGGGCGTGTGAAGAATGGCAGAGAAGGCGAGTTGTCTTACCTGAGACTTCTCTTCCTTGTCCAGGGCTTGCTGCACTGCTGCTCAGTCTCCTTGTTTTCCTCACCCTCTTCCTTCCACATGGCTCTCTCTATTCTTCCCTTTGCCACTGCTTTGATGTGGCCCAAGGACCACCCCATTCTGCTCCTTAAGTCTGTACCTCAAATTTTGGCTGACATTTGTTTTAAACACTGCACTTTGCTGCCTCCTACACAATTCCTCCATGGGCTACCCTCCCAGAGTCATGGGGACCCTTCTTACTTCTCCTGCTTGAAGTGCTGGCTGGTTCCCTGTTTGTCATCACCTCTTCCCCAGCCTGCTACCTTATCTCCTTGACATGGGTGACATTGCTTTTCCTACACTGCACTCTCTCTCCAGAAATACTCAAGGAGAGCTGCTCCACTCCTCCATTTTGGTCACTTCCCAGGGATGGTTCTATGGTTCCTTGGCTTCTTGTCCTTTGATAGGTAGTTCAATATTTCCTTTTCAGCCAATTCCCTGCTTTCTTGTTTCTCCTCATGTACCACCAAGTACCTCACTCTGTAGTTCTTGAATTTCTTTCTTCCGCTGATGACTCATGAAAGAATCATGAGACTGTATGAGGGCTCTTCAAAAAGTTTCTGGAAAATACGTATTGTGAAAAACTATACCTGCATTTGAAAAGTTTTTCACACACACACAACAAAACCTTACCTTTTAATTCCATTTTTCCATGAACTTTCTGAACCACCCTTGTGTGCACAATACTATAAAAGATGATGGAGTCTGTGAAGGCAGTATCAGGGGACTTTCTTAAATCTGAGTCCTTTCCCAGAGTCAGTGAATGAGAAGTGTTGTTGAATGAAAGGTCTAGGTCATTAGAAATGTGAGTGCTTTCAGATAATGTTCTAACTCCCCAGTTACCAGTACTCTTTCAGACCACATTGTGTTCACCTATTGCCTCTGAATCCTGCATTCCATGCTGTCTCTTTGAAGGATGAACTGCTAGGCAGAGTAGATAAAAGTCTACAGTTTTCCC